TAGTACTTGTTATGGGATAAGCGAACTCCGCACAGCCTGGTTAACGCTTGCCGTGCCTCGTTTCCGTCCAGCGTCACTACAACGCGGCCTGTTGCGGAGGCCATATTTACCGCCCCGCTCACGTCCCACTGTTCTGAAAGCACCGCTCTACAACGAGATGAACAATTGCTGGAGTGGCCAGAGGGAGGAGTAGAGCTGCCAGAAGACGTCATGTCTGACGAAACTTCTTAATGGTGGACACGGCATCACTGGTCAACCATCTGGAAGTTCTGTCTTGCCGAATACCACATCCTAGAAGTGTGAATTTTCATTTCCAACAGACCATCAACTGCCTGCTGTGTGGATTTTTTTGCGTCTGCTGTTAGCCAGCACCCTCCCCGATGACTGTAGACATCCCAGAAATGGGAGGAAACAGGCGTCCCAGTAGACCCCAGTCCATTGCTTGCCTGACTAATCATAAGGACGCCCGCGTGTTTTGTGGCAACTTATATGGGAGTAAAGACGCTAATAAAGCGGATAGACGATGAGGATTGGGTGGGCGAATGGCCCGCTTTTACCGCCGATTCAGTAGCCTCTAGGACATTCTCCTTGGCTGGCTGGAAATCCAGTCAGATGCATTGCCCAAGATGAGTCAGGGACACTCGCCAGGTACCCCGTCAAGTTTTTTTTAACTCAAACCTACCTGCCACATGCGCCACAAGCCTTCAGAACGTTCTCGGTTAGGCTGCGAACCACTACCACTAGATGCATTGCTGTTCCAAGACTCAGAGGTGAGTGACATTTTGCTACGGCGGGTAATGAGGTGGGGTCACTAGTTTAGTCAGCATACGCCATGTATGGACTTTGAGGCAGTTAGCAGAGTTCGCACAAATAACACTATGAGTGACCATTTTATAAGGTTAGGATGCCGTAAGACCGTCTTGGTCCACATTAGTCGACGTCCGTGGTTTAAACGGACTACGACAAGGCAGATAGCAGTTTACGTTGTAGAGACAGACAGCGTAGAGCTCCCAATACCTTTGTTTAGTTATCGTGTCTGGCATTAATTGCATAGTCAAATTGCCTGATCACTCACTTCGTTTTTAAGCATATGCCGAAATGGACCCAGTTGGCGGAGAACAAGCATGACAGTTGGTTCTAAATTTGACTGCGTAAATGGTTATAGTTAAAACAAGGGGCGACAGACCTCTTTGCTACCCACACAAACAATCCAATGAACTTGCGTGATGTACTCCCAATGCTGGCGCTGAGAAGTGGTTATACAGTGCAGGTCAGGTTTACGCTGAGTCTCTAGAACCCATAAAGTCTGTTTTCCGCCGTCACAAACCTACAAATAAGCAAATCAAAGGACACTTCCCAAGCATAGTCGCCTACGATGGCGCGAGCGACCGTTCTCTTCTAACCCCAAAGAGGCGATGTGCGCTCTAACGAGGCGAAAATAAATCTGGAGAGAACTATGGCCCCCAAGAGATTATTATGTTAGGATGACAGTTTGTTGGTTACAAATGTAGTGTGGTTCTTGTCAATTTTAAAAAGTAACAGTAAAGTACCTTCAGTGCCAGGAGAGAAGAATGCATGGACGGGTTACTGTTATTGGGAGTCAAATAGTGAGGGGTATAAACTTCCCCTGTAGACTTGAAAAGCATGGAAATTCTGCACATATACATTCTATAAAAGTGTTAGTTCTGTTGAACATTTAACACATGGCCAACCGAAGATAGTCCGCAGTAGCCATTGTGTAATCTTCCAACCGGAAAAATTCATCTTGATTGCGCTCGAGGAAACTGGAAGGAAAACAGGGAGTGAGAGGTGGCTACACGTCAACAATGTCGTATAAACACGCTACTGAGACGTGCGAGTACAGCTAATTTTAGTTATAAAATTATAGCGCACCAAAGTGCAAGCCAGTAGTCGTTGTTCAAATGGTCATGGAAGCGGAGACATACCTGATAAAGTCCGTCACCAGCGACTCAAGAAGGGACAGGCTTCCTTGATCGACCTTGACAAACGTAATTAAGTCACGCAGTTTGACTGAAAAAGGGGAAAGGGAGAAAGGCAAATTTATCATGGCCGAAGCAAGGAAACAAAAAAACGGCACAGAAAAGGCCGTCGTCTGGAGTGCATGAGAGGCTACACGGTGGTAAAAATAGTCCAGCTAATTGACGTGTCACAACTGCTGCTTGGAGAAATAACATAGAGTCTAGCCATTTAAGGTTGCATCGAATGATGTCGGATATCTTCGCTAAATCATCCAGCCCTGTGTTGACGATCTGGTGCCCTCGCCTCATGAGTTGGTTGAGGAACCGTGGGGGTACGAAGTTGGACGAGGGTACGGTTTGTACCCCGAGTCAGAAACAGGAAACCTGAGTAGCATGTTTAACGGGAGTAGTGATAAGAGGGATTATACAAGTGGGGCCTTTGGACGCACGGAAATGGAGATGGAGAAAGCAGAGAAGAAAATTACATCGAAAACCTTCTAACCAGCTTAGAAAGTGAACGGTTAGAAAACGTACAGATTCGAAAAAATAACCGAAAACGGTAGTCAGTGAGATTCAGGCAACTGAATAAGCCGCTGTCAACTAAATAGCTGAATCTCAGGTTCCAAGGGAAATAGCAATGGTAATTAGCCGAAGGTGGTAAGCGATGTGCGAATAACGCAGATTGAAAACTATACCAGAAGACACATTAACGGACAAGAATTTACAAAAAAGTGCAAAACGAGGAAAAAGAAGGATCTCTAAAAAGGTAAGCTAAATAATGGCCGAGAATAATAAAAGGGAAAGTCAAGTCTAGTAGTGTAAAGAGGCATGGCTTACGAATAGATATGAGGGCATATATATTAGAAATAAGTAATGGTATATACCGTAGATTTCAGAACGAAAACAGAGTCACGTCTGGAATATTTAAGCTCAGAAAGTCAATTTGACCATGTACATGGTGGTAGTTTCAATAGTAAGAAATGGCGGAAAACTATAAACTAATCCTTTTTTGAACGCAGACCGCCACCAAAACAAACTGCAAGACGCAGACGTACTGGGGCCGCCTGAAAAAAGTTACATGGAAGCCCTGTATCAGGCTGAGCTGTCTGGGCTCAACATTGACGAGATACAATATCGTCTATGGTTTGGACTAAACACCACTGGCCTAATATAGGCATGGCAAACCTTCCTGCCCCACATCGCGGAATCGTCTGAGTAGGACAATAGCGAAGATCTTCGCAGCAACGTCGATGAGACTTATGCCGCGGTAGTTCTCGCATCTCGTCTTATCTCCCTTCTTGAGGATAGGTACAAGGATGCCTAAGCCCCAGTCATCAGGAACAACCTCGTCTCTCCACGCTCGTTCAATCACCTCATGGAGCCAGGGCGCCAGAGTGTCGACACAAGACTTAAAGATTTCAGCGGGTATACCGTCCTCTCCGGGTGCCTTATTGTTGCGCAACTTTCGTATGGCATCGGCGACTTCTTCCTCGGAGGGGAGATCGCATGGCACTGCATAGGTAGGAGGGGGAAGAAACTCCGCTGAGGAGGAGAACAAGGGCGATGTAGGTTGGGTATCGAAGTTGAGATGGTGCTCAAAGTGCTCACGCCAGCGCTCGACTTTGGCCGAGTTGTCAGCAATAAAGCCGCCGTTCACATCGCGAACAGAGTCACTCAGTGTAGAGAGCTTACCGCTAACTTGGCGGATCAGACGATAGAGCTTTCGAGTGTCACTAACGTTCGAGGCCTGTTCCATGGATGTCGCTATTTCAGCCCAATATTGTTTCCGGTCATCCCTGGCCGATTTTGCCGTCATCTTCCGAAGTTGGCGGAAGTAGTCATCGTTGCGGGACCTGACTCTAGCCGTCTGAGCAGACAACTGCAGGGTTCTTCCGCTGATCCAGTCACTGCGGCGTCGCTGGGTGTATCCAAGGATTTTCTCAGCTGCCCCATAAACTGATGTCTTCAGTGACGACCACTGGTTACTGACTTCTCCGTCGACTCGGGCCGTAAAACAGGTCCGGATTTCTCTGCTTAGGGCCTCGGCAGTGCTGGCTTGCCGGATTTTTGCGACATTGAGGCGTCTAGGACGTGGCATTTTTGGTGCGGATGAGAGGTGAACTTTCAGGCGTGTACGGACGAGGACATGGTCCGACCCATGGGCGTTACCAGTCTCGGCACCACGCATCGATCTGCTATCGTGAACCCAGCTGCGGAACCTTGAGCTGACTAGTATGTAGTCAATCTGACTGGCCGTACGACCGTCGTTTGAATACCAGGTCAGCAGATGTTTTTTGCGATGCTGGAAGCATGTGTTGGTGACAAGCAGTCGGTTTCGATCAGCGAAGTTCAGCAATCTCTCACCATTTTCACATCGAGAACCAAGCCCAAAGCGGCCAAGAAGATGACTGGTTGTGGGGTCGCCAGGTCCAGTTCGACCATTCCAATCGCCAGCAACAATCAGCAGATCGCGGCGAGGCAGTCTTTCAACTAGCGCTTGCAACTGAGAGCAAAACGCCTCTTTATCGCGCTGTTCGGCAGCCGAAGTTGGTGCGTACACAGCGACGATGGAGATGTTTGTGAAGTGACCCTTCAGTCGCACGTAGGCCATCCGGTCATTTACTGGTTCCCAAGCAAGTAGCGCAAGGTCCGCTTGTTGTGATAGGGCAATCGCCACACCGTGTCGACCAGAGGAATCGCGGGGGCCGCTGTGGTACAGGGTGAAGTGATTCGACTCCCGGGATCTTTATTTCACGAGAGCCCGAGTCAGGGAGTCGTACCTCAGTAGTTCTCGCTTCTTGACATTTGTTTAATGGTGTCACCTATGCTGCGGTGGAGGAAAGACCAGTAAATATAAGGACTGATTAACGGTAATACAATAATTGACGTGCAATTCCAAACTAGGACCATGACAATTTGATGGTCGCATGTGATGATATCGATCTTACGCTCCACAGAATGGTGCGAGGGGACGGTGACAGGCGCGGGAGTTGGTTTGTAGTAATAGCAGACTTGCGCAGCATCTGCCGTATCCTCTCCTCTCACTCCCACCTGAGCCCGATGATAAGAGAGTCAGGACGACCTAAGGCCGACTTGGATGCAGTGGACGACAAAGTCAAAGAGCCTATCTACGCTTGCCACACACGACCCGATCCACGCAAAATGTGCCATTTTTTCACAGAAAGGGGCCGCTCAGACCAAGTCCATGTCCCTTTTCGCTGCCCCTGCGTCTCATAGTTTAACATCTCCAAGCTTCTTGAAGGCCGCCCTAATAAAGTACAGATGCCAGCATTTTTGTGGAGCAAGACAAATTTCCCAACTCACTAAGCAGTCGAAGAAGGTGCATTGGTCCATAGATATCGGTCATTTCCTTGCCAGAGTGGCTCTTTAAGATGTCCGCATACTGCAGGCGCTCAAATTTGTACAACAGTTGAGAGCCCAGTATGAAATTAAAGTTTACACGCAGTCCAGCGACGAATTCTTGACGCAGCTCTGCGGTGAGAACTGGAGTGGGAGGACCCTCCTTTGACTCCGGTGCCTTTGAACTTTCGGACTCTTCGAGGTACTCATCTAGGATGCTGGCAACCGTCTTCCGGGCAGGTAGAACAAAGAGCTACGGAAAGGCAAAACAAGAAAAGGAGCATAAAAGGCCAGCTGGCTATTTCAGTCACGGAGGCTGTGAGCGTTTGCAGAAAGTAAAAAGAGTTGTTAAAGCTGCCACTCAACTCGGGACGCACAAGACTCGGTGCGATGTCTAGGCCAAGCTATAAAAACGAGGAGAAAGGTGGTTCAAGTAAGAGGCCATTTGGAAGAATAATGTGCAGGAGGTTATCGCCAAAGCTGCTCCGAGGACGACAATTAGAAAACGAACAGGAAAGGTATGGGAATAAACCCTCGAAATACATTATACCGCGCCTAATTATTTGACTTAGGTAGTTTGATATACATTAGAAACAATCTCTGAGTCTATTTCTACTAAAACATTTAAAATACGAGGACTTGGGTTATTGCTTACTTACTACGATGTAAAAGTATAGTTCATGGGAGGGGGGGTTTCGTTCCCGGGAGGCCTAATTTCTACCAGTTAAAAATGCACTGAAGGCAGACTTAGGCACTGGGTTCGAGCGAACAAAATGACCCCTAAGACGGCGCATTGAAACGTCGCGAAGAATATTACAGGGATAACCCTTTACGCAAACGTAAAGTATGAGTCACGCTAAACATGAAGTCTGACCATTATCGCCATATGACGGTTAGACGCAGTAGGGGAGCACATGGAAACGCTCTAAAATAAGTATCCACACGTCCAACTCGAATGGGACAGTTTGCATGCAAAAGAGAAAGCTCGTTACTCGGTAGAGCGCAGATGTATCAAAATTAGCCGTCTGGAAGTCGACGAGAAGAAATGTTGACCGCGGTGAGTTATGCCTCTAGAAGTCGGATCAGCAGCCCAAGCCAACAAACATTAAGAGAGTTAAAGGAAATAACCTGTTCAAACTCGGTGACCATAGGCGGGCAGTCACAATAGACTAAAAAAAAACAAGGCATCAAGCAATGTACATTAATGGGATTCTTCAACCAGAATATTCATCAGCAAAATTTACCCTGGATTGCTTCGTTATCAAATCCCAGTCATCAACAAGCCAAGCGCGGAGATTTTCGGGGAAATTTACTTGAATTCTGGGCCTCGAAAGGAAACCCTCTTCCTGTAGGCGGAAAAATTACTGTGCACATAGTATTGACAACAGTCAGCAGGAACGAAGCGAGAATAAGAGAAAACTGAGGTCTGAGAGGGAGGGAGGAAAGAAGAGAGATATATGTACCGTTTCTCCAGTGATATCTGCGATGCCAGAACGACCCTTCTTTTTGCGGTTCGTACCCGATGTAGGTGTTGGTTTTGGTGGCTTTTCATCTAGCACGGAGGATTGGCGAGCGGCCTTAGGCGGTGGCTGTTCACTATCGCTGGTCTCACTAGCTTGCTGCTCTGTGGGAGTTTCCTCGGGTATCGGGGTGGGAATTGCGGTTGTCCGACTAGCTAAAATAGGTAAAACGGGCGTCGTAGTTGAGTTTAAAGTGTGGGAATCAGTCCCTCCTGAAAAATAAACTTACTTTTTCCGCTTTCCTCTGGGCGAATGGCCTTTTCCACTTTTTCAATGAGCTCGGGAGGAGGGTAGGGCTGGTTTTTGAGATCTGATTTGCGTAGAATCTTCATTTTCTTCCCGGACTTGCTGGAAAAATTGGCTGGGTAATCGAGTGCGTATTGCAGACATACTTACGCTAACTTCTCTAACTCCTTCTGCTTCCGAAGTCCAGCCTCGTCGTATTTGTACATGCGTCGATCCGTGACCCATTCGTCCCAGCTGCAGACAGTGAGTGAGGTCTGGGCAACTAAATCTGCCTACTTTTTGTTCCAGCCCTGGTAGTGGACGAAGTATTGGACCTCGTCTCCGGTCACTTTGACGTCTAGACACTACACGGCCGAAACAATACATTATTAAAATTGAACGGAGAGGAAAATCAAGAAGTTAAAACAATTTATGTTAATTTAGTGGGAAGGAGTATCGTCGAGTTCGCATTGTGGACAATATATCTGCAATCAAGTCTGTCGCAGATGAGAAAGTTTAAGTGGGCCACTCAAGCGTACACTCGCAGTCACACTGAAATGCCAGACAGAATAATTTCAGAAGCAGCCTAGCATAAAATGGGTCTTCGTAACAATCAATGAAGATGCTGTCGTGATTTGCCTTTCAAAGGCAGGAACGGGGAAGGTGACACGTAAGCAAACCAGTAAGAAATTAGAAGAGAAATTTTAACGAGAGGGGTGACGAAAAATTATCGTTCTGCACGTGAACGGGAAAGAACGGGCTATATGAACGCATGCCTGCGATTTCGCGACAAAAGTCCAAATTATGCAAAGACCTGGATGGACAGAACAGAGTATTCGTTTTGCCTTGTACTTACTTGGCACTGGTGCGCACGAAGAGTACCGTGACCTTGGCAAACGAACAGTCTATGGAGGGTATGTCCTTTTGGCAAAATAGTAAAATATCATTGTGTTGATTGGGACCAGCACATGGACACATGAACATGTATCCGGTATTGATGTGAAAGACATTCTATTTAAGTGGAAATGTGTCGGCTGACAGAATCCACCTGTTTATGCGACGGGTTGAAGTAGAAACAAGACCTGGAAATAACTCGATTTCGGGCAATACTATTTGTTTAATGGTGAAATGAACCCTAGCAATTCCGGCAGTCCAACCAATGTAATAAAGCGTTTGACGGCAAAACGGACTGAGGACGCTAAATTATAAAATGTGATAGTCGCACTAACAGAGCATTGTAAACTCGGCCAGGTGAATAAATGGTGTCAATACTTAGTCCGAGCCATAAGCTGAGAAGCCGGTAAAAACGAAAAACTGACAACAGTATCGTAGCGACAGGGTAAACAGTAAGTCTGTTTACATCCTAGACGCTAAGGAGCGGAATCCCATGCAGGACTTTTATCATATTTTTATCTAACATTATACAGCAATTCAGAGTTATTCATTTCAGTACTTTTTTCGGATAATATTATTAATAAACGGACGTGCGGTAGGACTTGTACAGGCAAATAAGGAATCGACCAAAAAACTAAATGGATTCCAATGGCCAGGCTACCGAATAACTGGAGGTAACCAGTCAAATAACTTCCAACCATAACCTGCGGCAGACTAAACACTGGGGACAGCTCGTAAAACACTCTACACACTGAGTCTTTATGATCTGGGCATTTTACCTTACAACCACAGGCGAGCTGTTTGCACTGTATTCTCTCCTATTTGGTGTGACAAGGTTGTGTGATCCATGGCGGTGTGTCCAAAAGAAGTTAAGTGGTTAATACTATTTATGTTGGTGCCAATTATCGCAGAGCTGAATACCTGAAAGATATGTACAACTGCCTCAAAAGGCTATGATCTGGCAACCGCTGGAGCAAAAGGATAAGGCCGGCTACAAAGCCAGGAAAACTTCGTTGCGCACTGACTTTTGGGTTAAATGTTTGTGCTTATGAGCGTTTGTAAGACATGCGCGTACTCAATCACTATATAGTGATTGTATAACACCCCGGTATTTATTCCTTTCGCTAAGCCCTTCTTTTAAACTTTGATAAAGTAAAATAGATTACGTGATTAAAATGCTTGGATTTGGAAGGCATATCCTACATATGGGAACTCGGGAGCGCGAGAAGCAAGGGCAATATTAAGGAAATTGAGAGAGTGGAGGACAGGAAGGAGGCGCGTATACGCGGCTGTCTTCGGTCGAGAGTGAGAAAAGACTCTAAGTTCGAAATTCGCAGTATATCTTAAGCGCATATGGGGCTCATGTAATTTGACATTATGGATTGTATTTCGTGCGAAAACTCAAAACTGGAGTCCGATCGGACTTTATTCGAATACTGTCACATGTGCGGTCCTGCAAATCCTGGCGCAACGCACAGTCGTCCGAAAGTCACTTATTAAAAATGTGTAGTATAGGAGTAAAATTTGTAAAGCAAACTAGAAAAGGAATAACAGCTCTCACCTTGGCCTCATAGAGTAAGGGGCCGTGGAAACAGAGAATTTTTTCACCTTATAAGGGAGACTGAAAACAAAACGGTGTTTACCAGAAGCGTACTTCTGAAATGGCGACTCTTTCTTTATGGACGACATCTCGTTGTGAGTTTCTGTGGGTGACTTTGAGAACAGAAGTCAACCATAAATCGCACCAAAACTGCCTCAGCAACAACCAGGAGACCGCGGAAAGCTCGCGCCGATATATGGAAAAACAAGGTACTCAAGCTATATAAAACTGACCTTCTGCGTTCCTAACCACTTTTTGCTTACCCCTACGCCACTTACGCGACTTTAACTCCGTCGGCAGTAAACGTTTACTATGTTCCCATCACTATGTGTTGCCCTGGTCTTATTGTCTTCATATCTACTGTTTTATTTATCAATTATCAGTTATGAAAGTTTACATAGCTAGATGACACTCTTGCAGTGCCAAAGACGTTGACTAAAGTGCGCACGAGGTTTAATATGGCGCTTACGATAGTTATTTGGTTATCGAAGTGCTGAACAGAGTCGTTAAGCAAGGCAGCCGACATATGTACAAATTGTAGTAAATTTATGATGACAAAGTGACGCTCACTGATCAAGTTACGGTACATGCTCGCTCACTGTGCCTTCGGGCTCCATTTACAGCTCTCGCAGGCGGTTGCATAAGGACTAGTAACATGTGCGGATTATGGAGTACCGGCAAAGGCATGGGGACCTGAATGGTCATTTCTGGATATAAGCCGCATGAGTTAATCATATCTATCACAAGGCGTGGAGCACTCGGGACCCGAACCCTGGACCTATGGTCCCTGAGTCAAACGCGCTACCATTGAACATGTCCTGCAACCTGATCATTGACTGTCATCCTACCACAATGAGTATTCCAGTTCACAAACTATAGGAGAGCTGACCTGTGGCTCAATGGAATGGCTTTCGACTCAATTAGCAAAAACCCAAATTCGATCCCCAGGTGATCCACACTTGAGATGAGATATAACTTGCTGATGGCGGCTGATAGGTCATAAATGGCCATCCGGTTTCTCTTGTCTGTCGATACGCCATCGATGGATCTATCGTTCACCGTCTAAAGGACAATATTATGTTGACCTAGTAATGATTTAAATGATAGAATATAGACGGCAATATTGGGTCAAAAGTCTGTTTAGGCAGTCTACTGTACGACAGACTTTGGAACCTATGTTGGGTAAAAAGGAAACTTTTTTGACGTCAGCCGGCAATTGACCTTTTTACATGTGATACATGCATGTAGGTATTTCTAGGGCAACGAGTGGAGCCCTAGATGACCCTATAGTGCACAGTTTGGATTATAGATACAGTTATATACGGTTAGCACAAAATATAGGTCAGTTCAGTTCAGTTTATTGAAGTAAATGTAGGTCTTCACCTTTGAACTCTCTATTTGTTTACAAGCAACTGCAAAATCTCAAAAACTCGAAAAGGTATCATAAAGGAACAAATAATCGGGAAAGCGTCAGGCCTGTACAGACAAACAAACTGTCTTGAATCTTAGTGGTACGAGCAGTTGTAGAGCTGTCGTTTCGAGTGCAACGAAATAAATAATATATCCGGTGACAAAATTTGCATATGTGCATGTCAGTAAGCGTAGGCGATGGGTCGGCGCAATAATAAACTCAATTTAAAATGTTACTGAAATATAGCAAGTAGTATTATAATAATTGATGTTGTCGAGCTTACAGAGATCGGGGTGGTAATTTAGTGGGCACTGCTACGCAAATCCAGCTTCCTCTTAAAGACCTCGACGGAAGCAGACATAACGACATCCACAGGCAGGGCATTGCAGGCTTCTAGCACTCTGTTGGAGAAGAACTTTCGTGTGTCCAGTCTGGCCCCTGTCACACGTAGTTTGAATGGATGGCCTCGTAGATTTGTGGTGGTTGCTAACTCGAAGAAGTTTCTCGGTACGAGGCTGCAGTCCTGACCGCGTATGATACGGAAGGCTTGTATCAGGTCACCCCGTAACTGCCTGTAACTCAAGGGAAAGAGATCAAGGTTAGCTAACCGCGTTGCATATGGTAGTGAACCCTGTCCTGCCACAAGTTTCGTTGCACGCCTTTGAACCCTTTCAAGGATGGTGAGGTCCTTCGCGGTCCAGTGTCTCCAAGCTTGGATAGCAAATTCTAGTTGCGGACGCACGAAAGTTCGAAAGACTTTAGCGAAGCAGTCTTCTTCAAAGGCAGAGAAAGCCCGCTTGACAAGGTAGAGGACTGACATTGCAGACTTGGCTATTTTCGTGCAGTGCAGCGAGGGTTTGAGCGAGGTCGTAATCCATACTCCCAAGTCCTTCTGCGAGTCCACTTCTTGCAGTGGTATACCATTTAGGCAGTAGGCAATATGGTTCGGAGAGCGAGCTCTGCCGACTCGTAGAATATTGCACTTTTTCTCGTTGAACGGCAGAAGACAGGCCTTTGACCACTGTTGGAGTCGGTTTAGGTTCTCCTGCAGATGCTCTTCGTCATCTGCAGTTCGAATGACGCTCCAGAGCGTAATGTCATCCGCAAACATGGCGACACCACAATCCAGTTCACTCACGCAATCGTTGACGTAAATTATGAACAAAGTAGGACCAAGAACTGAGCCTTGGGGAACACCGCTTTCAACGGCAACCTCCGTCGACTTCTGGCCACCGACATGGACAGTTTGACAACGGTCTAATAGGAAGCTTTGAATCCATTTTAAGAGGTTACCCCTAACGCCTGTTCGGCTCAGTTTGTGCAGGAGTCGCTGATGTGGGACACTATCAAATGCCTTTTTAAAGTCGATGTAGACTACATGCAGCGCATTGCCTTCATCAACTGACCGAGTCCAACGTTCCAAACAATTGAGCAAGTTAGTCACGCAAGACCTGCGACTACGAAACCCATGCTGCGCATCAGATACTAAATTATGCTGCCCTAGGAAGCGCATCAGCTCCCGCTTTATTATTTTCTCCATGAGTTTGCAGCAGATGGAGGTGAGGCTAATTGGCCTGTAATTGTTTGCAGAGGCCTTGCTGCCTCCTTTATGCAGTGGTGTGATCCGCGCAGATTTCCAGTCGGCGGGCAAGCAGCCGGCTTCGAACGAGGCTTGGAAAAGCATGGACAATGGTTTGGCTAGTTCGGCAGCGAGCTCCTTCAGTAACTTAGGCGGTATGTCGTCTGGACCTGGTGATTTTGACTCATTTAGCGTCATTAGCTCTTTGCGAACCGTCGCTTCATCAAAAGATACAGACTCAATATTTGGACCCTCATCAAAGTCGTAGTCGGGAGGAGTAAATGGACTTTCACTAGTAAAGATGGATTTGAAAAATTGTGAAAAGTGCTCAGTTTTTTCTCCATCCTCACTAATCTCTACGTCTCCGCCTGTCTTCAGGAGGGGGATTGGATCTTTGTTTCGTGTGCTGCTTTTTATGTAGCTGTAGAATAATTTTGGATTTTCCATAGCACGATTCAATAGGCCTTTTTCAAAATTTTGCCGTGTCCTGAGGGTCAGTAGCTTGACTAAGTTCCTCTGTATTTTGTATGCGTTTATGGATACAGGAGTCCCATCAGTAAGAGATTTCTGCCACAATCTCCGTTTTCTATTTATTTCCTTTTTTAACGCCTGGGTCAGCCACCCGGGTCGATTGTTTAGCCCCTTCCCTGAAAGCGGGCAGTGGTTTGTCAGGGGAACATGCAATAATTCACTGAACCATTTCCACTCCTCCTCTATATTTCCGGAAAACGCTGATTCCCAGTCCGTATTGTTGATTTCGGCCTTCATTTGATCGAAGTCCCCACGCCAAATATTTCTTCTAATTTTGGTGGGCTGTTCAGGCACGGAAAAGATTGAATAGTCCCATTGGAGTACGACGTGATCGCTTCAACCTAAGGGAGGCAGACATTGTACCTCATCTATGCTGTCCATCGATTTCGTGAGCACCAGGTCCAAGAAGTTTGACTGCTGCCCCTCGCGGGCCCTCGTGGGAAATAGGACGTGCTGTGTGAGAAATGACCTGAGTGCCATGTCCAAGAAGCGTAGGTCGAAAGCTAGTTCTGGGCCGCGCGCGTATAGTGAACTCCAATCAATGAGCGGTGCATTGAAGTCGCCCATGATTAGGACGTCAGGCCGGAGAGCAAATCGTCCTAGCTCCTCTAACAGACGAGCGTCAGCCTCGGGGTCACTCCTCGGTGGTCGATAGACGGTCAGAACTTCAAGGCTATGTGATCCTGGTATCCTTATAGTGAGCCAGATAGTCTCGGCGCTGCATGCAAACTGTTCTGTTTTTTCTGACACAAGCAGGCCGTGTTTTACGTACGTGACGACTCCTCCTCCCTGACGCTCTCTTCTGTCTCTTCGAAACAACTGAAATCCTGGTAGCATTAATTCGCTGTCATCCACGTTTTCAGACAGCCAGGTTTCTGTCAAAGAGACAATGTCAGGGGAAAGGTCACAGAACCGAAACTTCCTCATTGGGGCGCAGAAGTTCGTTGAGTAGACATTAGAAGAGTTGCAGGTCTGCCGAGACCGGCTCTTTGGAGGCACTAGCTGTGGATTCGGGAAATCCCTGAATAATCAGACATTGTCCTCTGACCGACGACACTCTCGAGAACACAGTGGTTTCGTGCTCCGACATAGGCAATATGTGGTTGCCATGATCTGACGAGGATATAAGCTGCAGTCGATTAAGATCCTCATTCGTCTCTGTTTTGTTTGCATTTTCATCAAAGTCGGAAGTTTTTTGCGATAGGTTGAGGGTTTTAGGACCCATGTCATTTCCCGTGATGGGCGACAAGGACGCCGACGTCCCTGGTTCCGGTTCTTCGGAGGCATACTTCGAAATCTGCTGTTCATGTCCTTCGACCTTTTTGCTGCACGATTTCTTTTTTTTCCTCTGGTTTTTTATCGTTGCTTCGCTGGTTGTTGTCGTCTTGTATTTTATGTGTTTGTGCTAGGTGTGCCGGGACAGCTGCAGAAGGTGTTGATGGCGTATTTTTGTGCGACGTCCTTTGGGCCTACTTCTAGTTAATCGTCCAACAGGTACATTCGCATCGTCAAGTGTGTCTAGTTTACATTGTAGAAGAGTTTTCATCTTTTCCATCTCTTCCTCAAGG